AAAATATTTAGCATCTTTACTTTCCAAAATGCACATTTATCTTTTTTAATATATCTGAAACAAAAAGAAAAGAAAAGCAAAAACAAACTAACAACATATCATAAGGTTGTACTCCGTGGCCCCTAGTATGCGCGTCCATGCCTCCACCATGCACAGCGCCAGCTGACACGGTCGGGTGGCATCGGGCGGAAAGAAGCAAGCAGACAGAGCCGCAGAGGCAGGCAGCAGGAAGCCTGCCCAGCCGAACCTGCCAGGTGCGAAGTGCCAACCCCCGACACTGACACCGACACCACACGGAGGCGGAGCACGCGGCCTGCGGGCGAGGGCGACGGCGAGGGCGAGGGCGGGGCAGCCATGCATCAGCCCATGGCGATGGCCTTTACGCTGCGCTGCCAAGTTCGTTGTTGTTGCCTTGGCGATGATGATGTCAAGTTCATCACAGGCTAGCAGCGTGCTAATCGAACCTGTACATTCTAGAACGTATGTACTCCTACTAGCTGTATGATTGGAGAGGAGTTCCCTTGCTCCCGTCGTTGTGGCAGTAGTAGTTCATTAAAAGAGTGTAGCCACAGCATTAGTTTTTTAGAAAGAAAACGTGCTGCACAGATTTTTTTTTTTTCTTAAACAAAATTGTCAATCTGAAGCTGCTAGCTGGAACCAGTCAATCACAAGATACGCCAACTCAGTCTTTTGTATACAAAATGATTATAAAGATTAAGATATGAGTATCGCAGGTGTAATAAGCGAACAAAATATATGTGGTCAGGTCAGGTCTCAGGTGTAAGCGAGCGAAGATGGCAACCGCAGCATTTCACTTTGCCTTTCCCTTGAGGGAAAATATCGGTGGCGCATGCTGCATTCCGGCCCAAACAGCAGGACAGATCAAAAGGCCAGTCCGCAGAGCCCATCACCCCTTTCTCTCCCATGGGCCACTCTCTGGGGAAAACCGGCCCAATGGTCCTTCTATGACTATGAGGTCTCAGCCTAATATGCCCAACAAAACGCACTGCCGTCTGAGGTGGGAAAAGGATAGCAGAGAGTTCGACAGGGATGTTTGCTCGCGCATATGTATATGTAGTGTAGCCCTGTGCCTGTCATTTATATTTGCTGACAAGGCGCCGAGTTGGCCGGCGTCTCTGTCTGACAAAGGACCATGCTGCTGTGCACGACGGCCGGGAACGGCGTGGCGAGTGACAGGGACGCTCTCAGTCTCACGTCTCACGGACACGGAGGATTTGGCTTTCGCCATCGCAATGCCTTGATGCCTCTCATCTCTCTCTCGCCCACATCACAGGTGGAGAGCCATGTCCAAGTCCAACCTTGTTTTCCTCAGGGATCACGTTGCTCTCAAATCGAAACTCCAAGGGTTACTTTGTTCCTTCTCCATATATTCGGAGCATCGTACACGATGGCACGATAAAAGAATTCCTCTTCTTCTTCCAGAATCCAGACTGGTTTCTACAATATCAAACTAAGTGGACATGTTTGTTTCCTATGTAGCAGCACATAAAGGGCCACAGAGATGGTGTGTGCATTTTATCATCGGATCTTCTAATCTATACACACATGTACTACAGCTATTAAAACAACAAGAGACAACCTTAGAGATACCGGCTTCATCCGAAAATAAACTGTGATTCTAGGATTCACTGAGCCAATTTGTTATTCAAGTTGCTTATTTAATTAAGAGATGCTTTTTTTTTTTGTTGACACAAGTACGTTTTGGTTGGTTCCATGACCTGTCCCATCTGTTAGCCTAGGAAATAGGTTGGATGTTGCATCTAAATGTGTAATTTTTAGATCTCTTATTATTCAAGGGGAGTACATATTAGTAATAGTATCTCTTATACATGTTGCTTCAAAAGGCTGCATGGACCCCGATGACAGGTTACTTCAAAGAGCTTTAAAAAAAAAGTTGTCATTGTTTATTATTCCTTGTGGAGATGAATATGAATTCAACAAGCTTAGGGATAAAGCCATTGACCTCAAATGACATGTTTCAGTTGATCCAGCAATTGACTTTAGAAAGGAAACAATTAGCACTTGAATTGTCTTCAGAGCCCTAGGCACGTGTTACAGAAAGATTTGCTGCCAAAGAGCAATACAAACAATCAAAGAAAGAATTGGAGACCAGAACTAGGAGGCTGGAGAAGGAGAAGAGTGGTGTCCAAACTATAGCAAGGGCAGGCAGGCCTGCTCGGCTAGTCAGTTGCTTCTGTAGTCCTAGCTAGGTGCCTAGCCTAAGCTACTTCTGTTAGGTTGGGGATTTTGGATTTGGGGCCGGGCGTGAAGCTGTGAAGCCGTCGACACTCGACAGGAGGTGCGAGATGGAGAGAAATGAAGAAACCGAGGGTACGCCTAGTGGGCCGGTCCAATTAAGAAAATGATTGGGTTTCACTCGTCCGGTGGTCCAAGTTCGCGAATTTCTTCGTCGTCTTCAACCTTCCGCCGTCTTAGCCCCTTCTAGCGATGCTCCATTGGCATAAAGTTCTAGGGGGCTCAGGGGGGCTCCATGGCCATGGCGATGGTAGGGGGCGTAGGGGGCTCCATGAGCATGGCGACCATGGGGGGCTCAACCCCGCCCCCAGCGCTACATCCGGGGCGATAGAGACACAAATACACGATTTTAATAAAGGCATGGCAATTGACAAGAGAGCCTGTATCAGAATAATCCTCCCATTGTCGAAGTAGGTGACACTGAGAACGCCGGCGGCTAACACGTATGTCACGTAGATGCCAACCCGGGTCAGCGCTGGCAGGCACGCGAAGAGGTCGAGATACGTGTGGAGAATGTACATATAGATAGGTGTCGAGCGCGAGGAGCGAGTCAGCCAAGTTGAGAAGCCAGCTGATCGCCGCGTACGCGTGCATCACCATGCTTTGCTTGGCATCGAGGCTCTCGAGGGGTCCATCGGCCATGTTGGGGACACGGTTCTTCACATAGTTGCCGATCACGCTGGAGGCAAACGTTGCAAAGACGAGAAAGTAGTTGAGGCTGACCACGTCCTCCTAGTGTTGGTAAAGCTTGGCGCAGAAGTGCCCTTCCGGCTCGAGCACCTTCTAAGGCGTAACAGAGACCCGGACCGAAGAGGAACAGGGTGGCCTGAGCTAGGTTGATGCTCATAAGGTTCTCCATAGTGCGGCGAAACACGCTCGACATCTAACATTGATAAAGCAGAAGAAACATGGTCATCTTTTAGATGCAGGGACGGATTTAGCGCTGGGGAGGGGGGGCTCGAGCCCCCTACCATCGCCATGCGTATGGAGTCCCTCCTAGAAGTTTCTGCCATTGGAGCATTGCTAGAAAGGGGCCGACGGCCGTCGCTAGCACCGTAGCAGAGCTAGCGCCTAGCGGACACTATTCAGACTGGGAATAAACAGGCATAGACGGGGGAGTAAACATGCAGCAACTCGGTAAAAGCAGATAAAACAAAGAAGAACGGTAAAAGAATGGCTCAGCACTCCTATTCTTTGGGCTGCGCATCGCCGGAGTAGTGTAAACTATGGAAGTGGTGAGCCAGAGAGGTGTGGAACTATGGAGTGGTGAGCGGTGTAGTGGTGGGAGTGAGAAGCGCTTTGTGTTATGATGGGAGGCCATGTATATCTATATAACCTATATAGATGGAGGCCACTAGAAGTCATTAACTATTATAAAGCTTGAACCCCAGCGCGCCACGTCATCGACATCTCACAACCCTTAGATCAGCTCTGTTTTCTGTTATCTAACCGTTAAACCTCCACCGGTCCACCCTCACATGCCACTTCTCCGCCCACGCTGCTCCTCCCTGCTTGATCCGATAGTAGGCTCCATGTTCTTTCTCCTACTATCCTCTCCTTCAATGGCAATTTACCGAGTGGATAACAATTTAATTTCCATCTCTTCACTTACTTGGTGCATGTCACGCTCCCTTATGGATGGCCAAATGGGCCAGGCCCGATGGGCGCACGGGCATGGCCTGAGCACCACATGGCACGAAGGCTATAGTGTCAGTGCCGGCACAGGCATAGTGTCGTGCCTAGGCGTAACTTCGGCCCGCAATGCCGGCATGGGCACAGGACGGCTAATGAGCTGAATATTTACATATTTACCACCATTACGAGTGTGAGTGATATAAAAAATACCATATCAGTGACACATTATAAGATGTCATCCGTAATAATGGTAAATATGTAAAGCTGGCACGATGGCAGCCCATTAATCCGTAATAATGGTAAATATGTAAAGCTGGCACGATGGCAGCCCATTATTCCCAGCTGTCAGATTAATTTACAGCTTCATGACCATTGGATCTAAAAAAAAACTAGATACATACTCCCTCTGTCCCTAAATAACTGTCGTTTTCGTTTCTCGAGAAACAACTTTGACTATATATATATATATATATATATATATATATATATATATATATATATATATATATATATATATTGTACAAAATTAATAACATTAGATAGATCATTGAATTTTATTTTTTATAATAAATTTATTTAGAGATATAAATATTGCACATATTTTATATAAATCTAGTCAAACTTATGGCGCGAAAGACGATTATTTAGGAACCGAGGGAGTACACAACTTCCTCCTCGCTCTCTCCTGTTCTCCTGCCTCCCTTACAGGCAGCGTGGCAGTGGGGAAGCCTGGTGCTACAGGGATGAGCATACCGCGAGTTTTCGGGTCGCACAGAAGTGGGCAGAGACCTGAACCCACAATTGGACGGACCACGTCACGAGCAGGCTCCATCATTAGTTCACAGGTTACGGGTGACTGGCCCTAACCGCTGGCCTGTTTTTTAGTGAAAGATACCCGTCGTCATCAAACAACCGACAACCGAATACTCGTACGGTTTAATTTGGATGGCAGCAGGAAAATAATGATTACTAGAGATGGCGGCTATATCCAGTACCCTTCCTCTTCTGTTCTAGTGGGGCCACACATACCTGACATGTCAACTAGTTTCTCTAGACGGGCCACACACACCTGACATCTCAGGTTACTATCATCCGCATAGCCCAGGGAGCTGTCTGCATGCGAAATCAATCTCTTCCTCTGTCATTTCTATCGTCTCATCGCTATCGTAGTGATCATCATCCGATTTGGTCTTCCTGCGATGCTCGGTCACATGTGAGTCATTTCGATGCTTATCCTTGTTCTTGCCATCGATGTCCACGCGAGCAAACTCAGCCTGATAGATCTTCTTGCACTTGGCTGCTAGTTGACATAGTTGTTCTTTGGGCAGAGCTGCGCCTTTTCCGCCTCCATCTAGTTTTAGCAGTTCGTTGACAACATGGGGGACGAAGCTCCACTGCTCTGCAACTCCCTTGATATCCTGAAAAAGTTTTTTCATAGTCAACCGAGACTGATTGAGTTGCAATACAACACATCATCAGTTTGAGCAATAACAAAAGAACATGGTCCAGCTATTTTGTACATTGTGTTGACTATCCATTCCAGTTCTTATGGATATATTAAATTAAAAGCGTAGTCACAATGGCTATGAAACCAGAACAAAATTTGGCTTCTAGGCAGTGTTTTCTTTTTTTTGCTTTCAAGATTATTGACGACCAGCGTCTCAGTGAACATGTGCTCTAACACACCACCATATATAGCACAGTTTATGTTGACTACCAGTACTAGTCAATATATACAAATATATTTTTAAAAAAGTCAATATGCAAATACATGCACTTTATAAATGATGAACGGTGATATTGCATTCCTTACATTGCCTTGCTCGAGGGATTCTATGGCGTCTTGCAGACAAGTGATTACCCCTTCAGAAGCTATTGTCTTCAGTTCACTTGGCTCTGGCTGTCAGGAAAGAAACCAGAGAAAGATAAGTCAGTCAAAAAAAGCAAACGTTAGATTCATCTGTTAAAAGACCCTTGGAAAGCAGAGGCAATACTAAACAAAAAGCCTACAGCATAAATACATGTTTTTTTTCATTAGGTGCACCCACCTTCTCTTCTTGGCTGTCCAGCCATGACATAGTCTGTGCTAAATCATCCACAGCCCATTGCTTTATTTTTGAGGGAGAAAAGCACTTGTTTGTAGATTCTAAATTTCCTGCCTGTACAGAAAAGGGGGAAAAAACTGTTGTGAGTTTTTATTGGACAAAAAAAACATGCAACAGAATCATCAAAGCTCCTGTGTTCCAGGCACTCATGTTGCCTTCATCTTGTTCTATCTAGAAAAGTTCTCTAATTTAGGGCATTTTCACTCGGAAACAGGTAGCACTGAACAAAAACAATGAATTTTGTAAAACGAAAAAGGATCGAGCTGGATGCCCTATCCTACCACTACCAGACTCAACTACTTATTAACTCAACAAAATACTTTTACACAATTTTTCATGTTCTCTTTAACATTTGACAGATGGATTTAATGCTTAACAAAAAACATTAAAATAATGTAAAGGACCATAGGCTGTAGATTATCCTGACTGAGCATAAAACTCTGATGCATAGTTGCTTCCAATCTGAATATACACACATCGGATATTCTTACAAAAGAAAAAAGGTATATTAATGTTTCATAGATACTGATGTTCCTTAAACAAAGAGAACACTTTACATATACATTAATTAAATAGCTAGAAATGCTAAAGCCATCAGATAATTGAAGTATCCAGGTTTGCCGGGAAGTATGTTACCAATATACTCATATCATATTCAAATAGCCAGCTCCCATTCAGAAAATACATCGTCTTTCATTAATATCATAATCATCAGTTTTTGGTTTTGGTTGTTTCATAAGTTAACTTTGAACAGAACAGACCTCCGTGGCATCAGAGGTGGATGGCTTGACACGAGACTGTTGAACTTGCTTTTGATGCATTTTATGCTGCCTCCTTCTCATCTAGACCAACAGGGCCAAATAAATAAATGATACTTTTAATTGATTGATTTCATGTGAAATTATACAAGGGAAAATGATAAGCACTCAAAGCTGCAAGGATGATTCATATTTTAACAAATTAGTTAATGAGCAGCAAATGGTGATTCTTTGAGGTTGCCAATATTACAAATCATCACCGAAGCTTTAGAGAATTGTTAACTAAAAAAAGGCTAAAACCAGTATATTATGTCCATTTAAAGGTGTATGTTATGACTAATGCGCACCCTTGACTTACTGCAATTTCTAGAAAAATGTGAAAGAAGCTAAATGTGGCTAAGTTTACACAGAAGTTTATGAATGTACCATCCTTTGAAACACAGAAGAAATGAAGGATTGTTTTAACATTTGGAATACTTATTGAGAGAGTAAGCTAAAGGGCGTACCCAGTGCAGAGAGCTCCCGCTCTGTGCGGGGTCTGGGGAAAGGTGTCAGTGGCAAGCCTTACCCTCGCCTGTGCAATGCGAGGAGACCGCGACTCGAACCCGGGACCTTCCGGTCACAGGCGGTAAGACTCTACCGCTTGCACCAGGCCCACCCTTCTATTGAGAGAGAGTAAGCTACTAAGCTTAATTTGTTGTGCATCACATTATTAGTGCACCAACATGATACAGTTATACCCCTAGTATAAGGTTCACAGAAAGAGAAAACAAGCACAGAAAGAACTATGTGATGGTAATACATAAAGGAAATAATGAAGAGCTTTTTTACCACATAATAAGTGCTACGTTATTGATAAGCTGACATGATCCTGAATTCTAACGACAAAAGTGTGTGGATACTGAGAGTGTATATCAGATATAACTTATGGACATGCATAACAGCACCCAAAAACAAGATCTTGTGCCCATAAAAGATATTTCTGGTGAAAGTATCTATCACCTTGATCAGTTTCGACAGGCTCCTTATTTTTCCGCCATGGCTTTCCAGCATGCATAAGGAAAGGTTCAATGTCCACAAGTTTTTTTTGCTTGTAAGACTCGAAGATCCAGTCCTGAGAGAAGGCAAGACCATAAACAGTTTATTTTAGCTCTGAAAGTTGGTGGAAAAGGAATTGTTTGCTTGAAGGGGCTTGCCAAAAAGCTCACTACAACGACAATAGCTGACAACCCACCTTTGAGATAATGGTTCCATTATCCGCCTGAACTTGTCGAAACTTGGGGGTGTTGACAAATGCACAAACAAGAAGGGTGGTGCAGTCTGATGTCCAATCGGCTCGATACTCAGCCCCCATGTCCAATGCTTGTGAACGAAGCGTGCTCCTCTCCGGGTTCACAAACCCTGACAGCACAAACACCACCCCGTCCTACACAGATGTATGAAATCACCAATACAGAATGGTATAACATACATATACATATATCTGAATGTAGCTGTGGTCAATAGATAGGTACCAAAAGTTTGGAGAAATCAGGCCCTTTCTGAGCCTTCTGGGAGGTGCCTGCCTGTTTCTTCTTGCTTGAATCGTCCTCTCCATCTTTAGAAGAACCCATCCAAGACGGGAGGCTTCTCTTGGAACCGGACATTTTACTGGGAAACCGAACTGCACCACTCTGCTGTCTTATAATTTAAAGTTCTATCCGGTGTCGACTGAGATAGATCAATCTTGTGCGCGCTGAACACCACCCATGTAAACTCGATAATTTTGCCAAAAAAACGAATTTAGTAAGCATAATACAATTATACACTTAACACTTGCAATCAGATCGGATCCAATTACAGATAGCCAAATAGCTTAGGTGCTCGGTTTCGCACAGCGGAGCAGGAAGGGAAACGAAGGGGCCGGCATACCTGGTGGGTGCTCGTTGCCGCCGAAGGGCGCGACGAAGAACTGGGCACCTGGTGTAGGGCGGCGGCGGCGGTAGCACAGTTGTCGCCGAGAGGAAGACAACGCGGAGAGAACGGCGGCGGCGATTGCCCTGTCGGGGGCTGTGTTCGGCCCAGTGGAAGCGCACCCGCACGGTCCAGCTGCTGGGAGCCTGGGACATGGACCCGATCCTTTTTTTTTCTTAATATTTCTTTCGTTCTCTTTTTTTATAAGTTTTTAATCTTCACGTATTTATTATTTTCATTCATGCTGTCAATATTTAGTGGAGCATTAATTTTAAATTAGTCGAACCATAATATGTTCGGACATTACAATGAGCAAATGGAATAATTTTAATTTTATTAGGGTAGAACATTTCTTATGAAGTTTAGAAACATTTTTTCGTTTGAACAGGAACAATTTTCTTGTGGGCTTGGAACTTTTCTTTCCTAATAATGCGCCAATTAAACCTAAGAATTGTTCCACTTGATAAATAGTGGTGCATCTAGATTTTCATTTGGATGCATTGTTTGCATTCTTTTTTATGTGTAAGTTTTTTTTACCCATGATGACGCCATCTGTGCTCGTATGGCGCATGGACGTCCGACGGGGTAGGATTCCGTCGGACAGCCATTAACCCCGCGCGCCTGCACAACATGACCCTCGTTCCCTAATCCGCTCTGTCCGCATGCGCATTGCATCGTCGTCACGTCTGTATGACTCGCTCGTAATCCGCTCCGTTCGCCTCGACTCGACCTGCCCCCATCCGCAAGACCTCCCCCTCCCTGTTACGCCCCCCCACAGTACACACCCGACCGTTGTGCCCCCAACCATCGGCTCCCAATGCGTTGTGTGCCACGTCCGTCAGCCACTGGCTCGCCGCGCCCCATTCCCTGGCGCCCATGTAGTGCCACCATCACTCTCATGCGCCCCCTGACTCTCCGAACAGCATGAAACACGTGCAACATGAAACACTTAAATGCAACATACGTCTGAGACAAATGAAACATCTGGAACATACACTTACAATATATGTATAAAAACATAAGCAACATCTAGATAGAACACTTGTAATATGAAAACACTTGCTGCAATGGAACTGTAACAGGTGAAACATTTGGAACATACTGTTACAACATATGTGTAAAACATATGCAGCATCCAGATCAAAAAACGCTTGCAACATACGTCTAGAACATATCAAATATTTTGAACAAACTCTTGCACCATATCTCTGAAACACTTGCAACATGCGCAACATTCCCAACCTACTTTTGCAACATCCATATAAAACAACTTCAACATACCTCTTAAATATCTGAAACACTTAAAACATATATTTGCAACATATGGGAGGGGAGCCTGTGCCGGTTAATTCCAGCCATCGAGGTGGGAGCCGGCGATGAGTGGCGACACGCGAGCACCACTAACATCCAACACCGGTGGCATGCGCGAGCACCACCGCCACTAGTGCCACCAGGGCTTGGGTCGGTCGGGCGCGCGACGGGGGAAGCGAGCACCACCAGTACTAGCACGCGCGACGAGAGGGAGCAGACAGCGCGCGCAACGGGAGGGAGCGAGAGGTGTGTGCGACGGGGCACCTCTTGCAGCATTAAACCTAAGAATTGTTCCACGCGACAAAGAGGTCTTTAGCTTCATTAGAAAAAATATTCAATAAGAAAATATCATCCAAATATATTTTAATTGGGATATGGTTTAAAGCTTTTTTTGTCACGACAAATTGTGGCGCATCTATATTTTCATTTGGATGCATTGTTTACAAACTTTCATGTGCAAGTTTTTTTACACACGATGACGCCATCTGTGACTGTTTGTATGGTTCCTCTATTCAAACATGTTAATACCATTTCGGTACCAAGTGACTAGCTTCTTAGCTAGTATAGAAGTAGCTCCATTACGCCGTGACCTCAATATTAGCCAATAATCCACCATTTTGGTCCATAGCGATCATTCTGGCTATTCTGGACATATTACTACCAACTGTAACTCAAATAGCACTCCATGTGATGTACAATTTTACAAACTTTATGTATTTTTAGAATGATAATATAAAATTATTTAAATGTAGTTATATTTTATAAATGTTACTATTTCACTACAGCCAGGAATGGTGCATCAATATAGTCCAGTACGGTACTTCAATTCCAATAGAAAAAAATATAAGTATTGTCTCTGTCCACAGAACAATGCAATTCTTGGATTTCGAGAAGCCAAACAACATAAACTTTGACTAAATTTATATAAGAAAGTACAAACATTCATGATTCAAAGTAAGTATCATTATATTAGTTATAAAATATATTTTTATAATAATTTTTTTAGAGACATAAATGATAATACTATTTAAGATAAAGTTGGTCAAACTTTAGCTCGGTTGACTTGCACGGATTGCATTATTTTGTGGACGGAGGAAGTATGCCTCTGCTTCAATTTTCTCTAAGGGGCGTGGTGAAAAAATTTTGGCCTGCACTTGCTCACCCTGCCAAATAAGAAAAAGTAGCAAGCGGCGGTTCTCTCGTGACAAGTCATGTAAGTGAAATTTTAACATTCCACGTTATTCAGATATCATATTTAGGCCCATGTGTCCAAATAGAGTGTCTATAACTCCATGAATATCGTAACGATGCGTTTAAGCACTAGGCTGTCGTGCCTCGCTAAAAATGGTTAGATTATGGATTCATTGTTGTTTTCTAAATTTGTCTTTGTCAGGAGTATCTATCGAAGCTCTAGCATGGAATTAGACATGATTGGCCACAAAAGTTGAAACATCAATTTGAACAACTCGTGGCTCTTAAAAATCCATTCTATCAAATAGGCTCCCTTAGGGCAACCACAATAGTGAGTTTCTTAGCCAACTTCTTCAATAGTGCTAATTTTTAGCACATAGCTTTTAAAATGAATAGCTTACATTCTCATGTCTCCTTAAAAAAATATGTTACGAGCTAGCTTTTCTCTCTCTTATATTAAAATATGAGAAAAATACTTAGAGATAGCTTAAAAGCCAATAATTGGAACTACTCTTAGTAACTAAGGCCCTCTTTAGACCATAGAGAAAAAAACAAATGAAAAGATATGGTATTATTACTCCTATGGAACGAAGTTATTATATGACCTATTGGGCAGAGCTCTAGCTCTAGAAAATTTTAGATCCAGAGCTGCAGAAATATTAAGTGTAGTTACATGACTAGTTTTCATTTAATTTTTAGATTACTTAAAAATGGTTAAACCACTTCAATTAGCCTACAAACTCTATATCCAACATAAATCTCGAAGCTAGAGTTGTGCCAAACGAGCCATAGTGTCATTTAGTATCATTTGGTTCGCAAAAACTGTTTGTAGGATAACATACGAAACTTTACTTTGCATTCAATTTCAAAGGAAAATCATGAGCCAGAAAAGATATCTACTCATATTTCATTGTTTCTTGTATCATGTGTTTCCCTATAGTCCATCTAGATCTCGATTTCTTTTTTCTTTTTGTGTTTTTTCATTCATTCTTTGTTTTTCATATGTATTTATATACTATTTCTATGTTTTTACTATATTGCTCTGTTTTCCAATCCAGTGCTCGGAAGGGTCCCTAGGCCGGATGACTTGCTTCCCGTGGAATGATAGAGCGCGTGTAGGACCCCAGCGATGACGAAGGACACACGCAACACAATCTTAGGATTAGTGCAGTTCCGTCATGGTTAGGCCCGACTAGGAAAAGAAAAATACTTATTATGTTTATTACTTTATTAAGAGTTTTTTTAGAGGTGTTTTTATATTTGTATAAACACCTTTCTTGAGTAGTGTTATATGGTCTCCGTGAAACAAAAATCGAGCTTATACTGAAAACCAGCCCCCTCAAGCTCAGGAATCGAAAATTTTGGTTCTTCAAACAACATTGGTTTGAGAAAATAAAAGATTGAAGATTGAGCCGATGGCATCCTATCTTGCCAAGGAAACAACATTGATGCCTGTATTTTTATATTTGTATTCTAAAATGATAATGCTTCGGTGAGGATGTCCGTCCAGACGTGTGCGTCCGGACGCGTCGTTCCTAGTCCTGCGAAGCGATTGGGCCCAACAGGCAACGAGCCTGCTCCTCTACGCCGATGCTTTATCCTTCGCCCGCGACAGAAATCCGAACCGAAACCCTGACGAAGTCCCCACTCGCTTCACCACATCGGGCGGGCACCCCACTCTGCCTCATTGCCGTGCGCGCGCGGTGCCCCCACCTGCTCACGTCGGCCCCGCATCTGCCGCCCATGCCCACTTTGCCTCTGGTGCGCCCCATCCCCCTGCTCCGCCCATCCTACCTCCGTGTCTGTCGCGTCTGCTCCCCCACGTCCACGTCCACGCCCACTCCGCCTCCGGTGTGCCCCATCCCGCTTGGTTCGGTGTCATGTCTGCCGCCCACGGGCACTCCGCCTCTGTGCTGCCGACACCGTCATTCCCACTAGAAGGTCCTCTCCGCTATCGACCTCAACTTGCGACGTCACGAGATCCACGTGGCCATACCCAGAGCGGGCTTCTCCGACTGCACCTCGCGCTCCCTTCCTCCCTCGGTGGCGATTTCCGACGATGAGTACGAGATCGGGTAGGGACGCCTCGCCCAACAGCGCTGACGAGGATGCAGTTGCTCGGTGGGTTCGTGGTCGCAGGCGTCAGGCAGTCAGGAAGGTCGCCAACAGCAAGGCCCGTGGGCGTCTGGCA